AAAAAAAAAAAAAAAAAAAAAAAAAAAAAAAAAAAAAAAATTGGGAGCAAAAGGCGAGCTTGACAATCAGAAGAAAGCGATATAAAAACGTAACGTATCACTGCGAGGTTGTTATAAAAACAAACTACACATTTCTTCGTTTAAACGCGAATGATACAATGAGCTCATACTTAATTTGATTAACTAAAATTATTAATTTATTTGGGTACAAAATAAATATAGAAAAGAGCTGTGCCAAGTTTTTCTAGCCCTCAAAAGTGTGCAAAATGACATGCTAGTTTAAAAAAAAAAAAAAAAAAAAACGCCCAAATAATAGTGCCGTAAAGTGCGTTATTCATATACTAGGACACTACGTGTTGTTAGTTGGGCGAAGGATACTCATGCTCATCCAAAGGCGTTACAAATGAGAAAGTGTACTTTTCCCTCAAGAATCAAATTAGCAAAATCATTTTTTTTTTTTTTTTTGTTTTATGTCTGTGTGTTATGTGGCCTTTCAAAATGCTAACATAACATTGCGAAACAGTACACAATTCATTTTGGAATACATTATTTTTTTTTTTTTTGCAATGTTAACCCACCACTTTTCCAGCACACTTCTCCACTTTTCACACCGTATTTCCTCCAATTTCCCCACATTTTTAGCCCTTCCTTTATTGGTCATTTAAAGGGCTTTGAAATGTGGTAGACACATTTTCGTATACAACGCGTGTGTATAATAGCACTGATTCATAAGCATGGACTTAACTTCACCTTTTTGTTTTTTTTTTTAAAAAATGTTACTTTGACTATCCATAGGGGAGATGGTGGTGCAAAAAAGGAAGAAGCAATATGTCCACACCACGCGGCAACAGCGACAGTAACCGTTTTGCACAAACAAAAAAAAAAAAAAAAAAAAGCATTAAAACATCACTAAAACAAGGTTATCAAAGTGAAAGGCTACACAGAAAGGTTTTCACCGCGGCACCACAAATCAATCGGACAGTTGAAATTCCGCCTCACACGTTTTTTCGAAACTTATCCTCCTAACAGATCTGCGTCTCTTTTCCTTTTCGACGCTTTTCCGTTTCACTTCGCATGCATAATCTACGGTGTTCGTTAGCGATTTTCTCTTTTTAACCTCTGTGTTTTTTAACACTTTGGAGGAGTCGACAACAGAATCGCCATACAAGTTGTTAACCGCCTTTCTGCCTGCACAGGTATGTTCTAATCCGTACGTTCCACACACTTTCCTTTCCACCTCCATAGATGCATCATCTAAAGTGGGAGAATAAAACCCAGGTCGGAAAGAACAGCTGCCCGCATCACCATCTAACAGTGCGTGTCTGTTCCTTTCGTTGTTCTTACCCATTTCGTTATCCTTGTGGATGATATTAATATACTTATTGTAGGACTCAAAGAAGGCCACTAAATTTACAAACAAATCCTGTGAGTATTTCACCTTCCTCGTTTCATCCACGTAACTAAAGAGAGGGTAGAATGGCCTGATGTCTCCTAACCATATTATAAGTGTTAAGTATTGCTTTATCAGTAGGACTAGGCGCGAAATTATTAGGAGCATCTTCCCGTATACTTTTTCTACAAAATCGTGCACCTTTTCGAGAAATTTGTCCTTGAGGAAGTTTCCCATAGCCTCTTCTGCCTCAACCTCCCCCGTCGCTTCCCCCACACAACAGCTGCGGGCAAACTCAGCTGTGTTCATTTCTCCACGTAACTCCAGGAAAGTGTTAATAAAGTCGATGGATCTGTCGTAAAGGTCCTTTAAGTGAAACCTGCTAACCTTCTTCAACTCGTACAATTCCTTGTCGCTGAAAATTTCCCCTGTGTGTTCCGCCAGAAGAAGCAGCATACATCTATCCCTAGATATTCTCCCATTTTCTAAATACCCATGAAGCATTTCTACCTTCTTCACAACCGTGTCCCACTGAAACCATCGATACCTCCTCGGCTCATTTAACCAATTACACAAAAACAAAATGTTGGAGAAAAGCTGCTTCAAGAGCATATGCTTACTTGCTATCACCTCTATGCTCATTAACTTGTTATGAATATGCTTTAGCAGATCGTCATAAATAAAATTAAAATTCTCAATCAGCAGCAGATAGCGACACCTCTTATGAGCATTTGGGATGGTACATATGAACAGGCAGAATTCTTCATCTTCATAAGTTTCGAAATTTTCTTCATTTTTCTTCTCTTGGGTGAGGTCTTCTCGGGAAGAAGACACGGGTATGTCTGTTGCACTGTCTAACTGTTCCACCCCTTTAGAGGAAAATGAATCACTTAGACAACCATCGTAGGTATTCATTCCCTTCATAAAATCGTACGTCTTCAACTCAAATTGGTCATCGTTCTTCTTTTTCCTTCCCGTTTGGTCGTCATCCTCGTCGTTGTCATCTGACTCAGAGTCCTCAATGTACAGGTCACTGTCACGTGGATTCACCAGACCCACACCTCCCCTTGCGGCGTCTTTCCGTTCACCTTCCCCCCCTCCTTCTCGCAACAGATTTCGAATTATACTCCTTTTCCTCTTCGGCCCCAGCTGGCTTTCCAGCCTATGCAAGGCCTCTGTCCAGAGACCAAAATTTTTGCTACTCGCTTCTGGTATGGTGTGCAAAATTTTTTCTAACGTGGTAGAATCGCATGTGCAGAGAACAACAGCCGAAACTATTTTCTTCAAATTCTTAAACTCACTCTGTCGTTTCAAAGAGCACAACATGATGGTCACTGGCTGCGTGAAGTAACCCATAAAGCTCAACCTCTTTTTGATTCTTCCCCCAAAGGGGTTATTATTCCTACAGTACGATTTGGCTAAGACATTTTTCTTCACATGTTTTTCTCTTATCTTTCTGGTAAACCACAATGCTAGTTTTTCATCATTCACTAACGAAATTGATGGAAGGAGGGATTCCACATTGACAGAATAAAAAATGGATACTCCTAAAAATCCCATCATTTCATTTTTAACCTCTTCAGACGATTTGAATAAACTAATTTGGCCCCTTCTACTAAACCCTAATTGAGTGCAATTATTTATGCTGTACTGGGAAAGAACATTACTATTACCTTTTGCTTCCCCCTTGAGAATTTCATCGTACATGGCTATATCTTTTATGTTTTCCTCACTTGGAATGAAACTTCCTTCCACGTCTTTGCAACTCAACAGGCCTTCGTACATAGCTTTATCAAGTTCGACCATGTCGAGGGAAACGTACCCTACAGTGCTACTCATTTGTATGTGCAGATTCGCTCTGTTGTTATTAACACTCTTTTCTATTTCCACCCCTGCATTCCTCTTCTCTCCTTCACATGGCAGGAAATTCCTCTTCAATGATTTTGCAAATGTAGAATTGCTCCCACTTGTATTTGATTCTTTACATTTTGATGCACTTAAAATTGCACCTTTTTCAGACGCTCCTTGTAACTTCCTTTTAATTTCGTCATTTATACTAAAAATAATATTCTGAAATGGTAGGGGCATTTCACTGCTTGTCTGTTTTGCTCTCCCCATTTGGTCACTTTCAACGGCTCTGATCTTTCCACGCCTCGATTCTCCCCCATTTATGTGCGACACTCCTGCCTCCTCTCCACACTGCTCATTCTTTAGACCAACCATTTTGTCACTACCCGTGTGGTGGCTAGGAGGTTGTATGTGATCGTTTTTATTCTGTCTCTCCATGCCTGAGTTATCCTCCTTCATGTTGCTTCCCTCCACATGGTGAACCTTATCTAGTCCGTTAGTGCGCTCACCTGACGAGATGATTCCTTCTCTCCCCAGTAATGAGGTACGATTCATACTCAAATTCTCCTCCCCCGAGTGTGCATTCCTCTCATTCGAGTATCTATCCGTGTTATCCGCAACAAGGTTTGTCTCCCCTATATGAAGGGAACTCTTCTCCTCATCTTTCTGCGCCAATGTGGAATATGCTTCCTTCTTATAAGATACAACACCTGAGTAACCTTCTATACTGACTGGACCCCACTTAGTATAGTGTTCTCCATGTTTTCCGTTTTCTACTGAACTTATGTGAACCCCGTCATCCTTTCTTCCATCTCCCTTTTGATTATCCCCGTGTGCACAACCACCACAGGCATCCTCTGCATCAATAATTTCGCTCCCCATTAGGAGCTCAACATTTTCCAAAGTTAATGGTTCATATGGAATGTGAAAATGTGTCACCATGTTAGGACTTTCTTTTATCCTTTCTTCCCCTAGAGTCCCATCGAGGTTATTTTCCTCCTCGATGCAACCATCTGTGCTAGACGTCTTATCCCCCTGAGCCACCACCCCATCGTGCAAGTGAGTGACTTTCCCTTCAACTTTAACCTTATCGTTCGCCGACGAACATTTGTAATTTTCTCCCCATTCGCTTGTTTTCCTCTTTTTGTTGCCAATCATGAGTGTGCTGCTTCTCATGTACACGCTTTTGTTTGGGCCGCCCTTGCTGGCATGCGGGGGGGAAAAGCTGATGGGACCACCACTACTGCCACCGTGACCGCTTCCACCACCGCTACCCCCGATAGTCGAATTCATCCTCTTCACGTAAACGCTACTTTGCAACCCGTGCGGCCTGCTCACCATGCTGGCCTTTTTGCTTAGAGAACTCTCACCCTTTTTCAAATTATCCCTACTTAGCAGTGTAGCCTTGTTGGTGCTACTCAGTCCTTCACTTAAATTACTGCCTCTGTTGTGTGCCCCTTTTGTGTCTACATAAACGCTTTTATTCAAGTTACTTATTGGCCTATGGGACGGCGCAATCAACCCCCCTTTGTGTAGTTCATTTTTTACAAAGTTTCTTGGAACTCCCACATTTTTACCCAACAAGTTACTCATCCCGATGCCACTACCAATACCACTGCCACTACTAACATACACACTCCTGTTAGTGAGAATATCTTCCTTCTTGGCGCCCTGAAATTTGTGGTGCTTGTCCATGTATATGCGTTTATGGCTAAATGGAAGATCCCTATTCAAAGAGGCTTTAATTACGCTCTGTTTTGACCCATATACAGACTGGTTTAAGAGAGGTCGTTTTCTGAACTCAGACTGGTGTAACTGTCTACCAGCGTTGTTGTAACTGGGTTCTGTGTTCCCCTTATCATTGCTCAATTGTGTTTTCTTCTTTTCGAAGTACTTTACGTAACCTTCAGAGTCTTCTTTGTATGCACTGAAGTCTAGAGCCCCAAGGTTTACGTAGTTCGATTTGTTTCTTTCGTGGATGATGGCATTGGAGCTCCCATGAACGGACTGATTCCCTTGGTTGTGAATCGTGTGTGGGGCGTTGGGTATATCTGCGTGCGTATCCCCCGAACTATCCCTCTCATCACTGCACTCTTCCCCCCTTCCCAACATGGGGGAAATGCTCCCCGCACTGTCTACACCCTCTACAATGCCTCCACTCTGTGACACGTCAATAGACGCTTCATGCCTGGGTAACTTCATTTTTAATTTCTTCCTTATGACTACTTCTTCCTCCCATATGTCATTCAACTGCTTCCTCTTCTTCAGTCCCTCCAGAAGATCCTTCCCTCCACTTTCTTTGCATCTCCTTCTGATTACATCTTCGTAAAAGTTTACAACATCGACAGACATCAAATATGCACACCTGTACTTATTCAGCAAGGACAGGAGTTTTTCGTTTATCCTTTTCAGCTTCACATTCTCCTGAAGTTTTAATGTTTGGTGGGGAGAGGATGAATAGGAGGTGGTCCTACATATGTATTATCTCCTACTGTTGCACAGTTGGAGTGTCTGAACCAGCAGGGTTAGGTATGCGACTCGCTGGCATTCTTCAACGTTCATGCTTTTTTTTCTTTTTTTTTTTGTTTCGTATTTTCTCAGCCAGTACATGATCCACCATGGTGCGGACTGCCATGGGTGAAAAGGTTCCTTTCAAGGCAGGATCACAAAACAGGGGATTAGCACTGAACTTTAACAAATTGGCATGCTTGCATCCATGCTTAGCTATATTTAGCCCTGTCCAACTGCACGTGGATTATCGTAATCACTCGCGAAGCAGCACGGACTACCGCGTCACGTGTCTACTTCCACAAGCGGCACTTCAGTCGTGCTGTGAAAATATAAAAGGACGAATTTTATTTTGAAGTACAATTATTATTATTTTTTTTTTTTTTTTCATTTCCGTTTTGAGATTGTCGAAAATTTTTCTTTTTGTTCAATGATACGTAGAGATAAAATTGTTGAGGCCTCAAAATGCGCGCAACAAAATGTGAGCAGAAAAAAATGTGCACAATGAAACGAGCGCGGAAAAAAATATGCACGCCGAAACGTGCAGGGGGGGGTGGAGCCCGCGCAAATAATACCTGCCGGAACCCCCCAATCAAATGCACACTTTGGAAAAAACGGATAGGCACTAATCCGCTTCTCCCTCCAAAGCTGCGCCCCGTGCGCTCAGTGTACGTCCGGGGGGAGAAAGCGGCGTGCCTTTTTAAAACGAAGGAAAGCATTTAAAAGATAAGAAGGGGCTTCAAACTGGGGAGGGAAAATAAAAACTGCAGGGAACACTCCTTCCCCTTCTTTCGGAAAAGTCAGCTTAAAGACAAAACATGTTTACACACCCGCGCAGCGGAGTGGCTCTACATCGGGGAAAATAATACTCCCAATGCTGCTGACCAAAAACAATACTAAGCATTATACACCCCTTTCGCAAAATGGGCATTCTTCCCGCGACTAAACTTTTACAAAACTCGGCACGAACTCGAATGGGTAGTACTTATAATCCACGCCCTCTTCAGATACTTGGACAACCATGAGACCAGATTGATCATCTGCAGCCTGCATGCCCACAGCGGAAATCGTTATTTGTTTTATATTGGCATCGATGTTCTTCTCCCTATTGGCATGCAAATGAGCACAAAACACATGACTGACTTTGTATTTTTTTAACATGTCGTAGATAACCATTCTGCATTCCTTCCTTATGTGAAATTTATTTTTCTCTGAATAGTTGTGAAATTTTTCACCATATATGAGACCAATATTTTCGTCTTCCTCAATATCGTCATACATAAGTGCATGATGTAAAAATAAAAACTTATGCTTCACATTTTTTGCAACCATTTTTTTTAAAGTTTCTTCCAGCCATAAAAATTGTTTCTCTTTCAAATCTGCTACATGTGTATCGTTAAAAAAAACGGCAGAATTTAAAACGATGAAGCCGCAATTATTGTAAATATAACTGTAGTATGTGTCTCCCCAAAAATGCTCAAAATTCTGAATTGTCTCGTGTGTTGGTTCATTTCCAACGTCATGGTTTCCACAAAAAACATACAAATCGATGGACTTATCCAATTGTTCGAAATCAGATTTTAAATCATTAAATTGCGCAACTTGTAAATCATCAATGGGGAATTTATTTGCCAAGTCTCCCATTGTTATGACAAAGGATGGTTTTATTTTGTTCGTTTTCGTGATGGCCTCTTTAAGTAATTTCCTCTCTTCATACCATCCGTGATTTGCCCTGATCATTCCATATTGGATGTCTCCATAAAGGACAAAACAAAAGGGATTGAATTTCCCTTCGTTCACAGTTTTTCCTTCGTTATTCTGTACTTTGATTAAAACCATTTTGTTTATTCATTCGGGAATTTTTCTTTCGAAAAATAAAATAAAATAAAAAAAAAAAAAAAATATTAAATCTCCCTACTCAATCTGACCTCGCGCTCAGGATATATATATTCACAGCACCCCTGTGTGTTTTCCGTATAAATGATGTTGGGTCACTTTTCTCCAAATAAAATTTATTCAAGTGGTCAAAATAGGAGCAAACGTTACATACACGTGTAAAGTACAACCCTTTTTTGGAGGTTATGTAACTACAAAACATATGATATATACACCAATGAAACACGCTGCAGGACGTCCTCTATTTACGTGACGCTTTCAGCTTTTCGAATTATGTAGGATTGAATGACAGGGGAAAATGAGTCATTTTGGCTTGGTTAGCCTTCTCATGGGGGGGAAGTGGCTTACTTAAAGATGCCTTTAAGAATATGTTTTTTTTTTTTTTTTTTTTTTTTTGCCTCCCCTTTTAATTTATAACTTTTGCAAAGGTACACCCCTATTTGTATCCTCCAATATGGAACTGCAAAATCAACTTGGCCAAAAAAGTAAAAAAAAATTTCATGTCGCCCCAACGATCCACGGCGTGGGTGAAGATTTAATATCCCACTTCCTTAACGCCCCAGTGGGGGCTACATACAAAAAGGGCACGTGATATAAAAGAGCATTTTTTATAAGCAGTGCATGTACACCGGTTAGAGTGGTGCCATAAATAAAACGCATACGCAAACAAAGAAGCGGCTAAATTTTTATCTGCAATTTAATGCGGCCACTATGTGAAGAGGCAGAAAAATTAATCCCGCTACCGGTGTCGTCAATTGATGTGCATAGGGAGAGAGAGTGCCGGAAATATATTTTTTTTTGGCCCACGTACGCGGTGCTCAAAAAATGGCAGCCGCTTCACGTCAATGGAGCTATAAACAGAGAACGGAAAGGCTTTATCAGCGTATACCGAATGAAGCGACACAAAGAAAAAGTAGATCCCCCAATCCGCACCCCCTAAATGGTGGTAAGTATTAAAATGTACTGTTGCACCTTGTGTATTATACAAATAAAGAAATATGTTTATGAAGAAACCAATTCGCTCTTCTGCCCAGTTACCCACTCACTTGAAGGCACACCCCCATGCCGAAAAAGTAAATCGAGTGCACGTGAAACAAAACATGTAAACACAGACGTGCACTGTCTCCCGCATGCGCATTTTCTGCATAGGTCATACTCCAATGTATCGACCACGGACCCTCTCCGCATGTTGCTGCCCTTGTGTAACCTAAAATTGGTCAGAACTGACTCAACTGAAGCAGTACAAAAAGTGATACGTAAAGGGCAAGATATTATTTTTATATATATATATTTTTTTTTTCTCTCATATGTTGCTCAGCCAAATGGATTGTGTAAGAAATTCTGCTTCCCTCAAGGGTCGCCAAACGTAGCCACCTGCGTGATTAAACACACGGGGGTGAAAGTGCTGGTAGCAGCCAAGCAAATCATTACGCTAATGATGCCATATGCCAACACTATAGCACTGCTACTTTCGCACTGCAAAAATGAAAGTCCTCGGGAAAGACGAACCTATCACAAAATTCGAGGCCTTTCTGGTCATCAAGAAGGAGCTGGAGTACGCCAAGCAAATAGACAAGCACCTCTGCAGTAAGCTGATCCTAAAAAAGGAAGACACCTTTAAAGAAATGTACGAAAAATATTTTATGAAACTCCTGTCCGATAAAATACTCTACAAAGGAATACAAAAATACATCGCTGATACAAGCCCCCACTTAATACCAAAGGAATTCTACAACAAGGATTCTCACGAACTGGAAGAAATGACCAATAACACATCGGACAAAATTGTTCATTTTTTTAAAGAAATAAATATGTACAATTTGGATAAGAAGGAAAAAATACAGATGATCGATATCAACTGCGTTAATTTTGTGGACCTCTACGTTATTATGAACTATGGGGAGAAAAAGTAGGTCCATATGAGTGCACACTCCAGCGGGTCGCCTCCAACCGTTTTACCCCGCCGTGTGTGCAACATGACAAAACAAAAAAAAAAAAAAACAGACACGCGCTGCATACGTTTTACCCACGTACCCCGATTTGTAGTTCGCCCATTCCGTGTTTAGCCTTACCCCGTATGTAATGTCAACTGAACATTTGTTTCGCTTTCCCGCCCCTCCTAGGTGCGAAGAAAACAACATTGAGCATATGCTACACTTGTTGAAGAAGGTACATATATCTAATGCTGATACCCCCTCAGAGGACAACACCTAGCCTGGCCTCTCATCGTTGTGGATGCACATGTTTCATTTCACAAGCAGAGGATACTCATGCGCCCTTTACTCAGTACTCTTCATTACACCCCCACCCACCCCCTTATTTGTACACCCCGGAACGCACACCCTAGCCGTTCCAATTAAGCAATGTGCATTTGTCCTAAGTAATAATTTAAACAAAATAGTGAAGCCATCTTGGGTGTACGTACACTTCCAATGGAAGACGCCCCCATATGTGTCCCTTCCCCATGGAAGTACACTTTTTTTCTCTCTCGCTCTCCCAATCATTGTTTTTGTACATACTTTTGCTCTATTCAACTCTTCCTTGCCATCCCCTTTTTGTACCCATATCACTAATCCAACACGGTAACTTTTTAAAATATTTTAAAAAAAAAAAAAAGTTATGTAAATAAAACAAGCGGTAACGGCGTATCTGTTACTTTGTCATTTTAAAGCAACACGATTTTCACATTTTTCAATTTACACATGCCACACGAATGTGTATATACACAAGAAACATACATTAACCCAAAAATGTGTCAATCGTGAAAAAGGAATGAGAAAAAAAAAAAAAAAAAAAAAATGGGAAGCAACAATAAGTACATGAAACAGCTATACATATGTGCAGATATTATGTGTCCGCTTCATTGTGCTTACTCTGCTGCGAGATAGGTGGTCCTTTTAGGAGGTAAAACTGGGGATGGAACTACCGTCCACGCTCCGTTCACCACTTGTGCGGTTAACACGACTATCCGTTTCGTTTTTCGCTGTTTTTTTCGATGTTTGTTCACCATTTCGCTGCGTTCCTTATATGTGGCTTTTCCTTCCCTCAATTTGGTAGGGGTGTCCACAAACAGACGCAGCGAAATGTAGGGAAACGAAACCCTGCTACTCTGTCGACGACGTTAACGGCATGTTAAAACGCACGACACAAATGGCCCGTTACACTCTGTATAACGCGACGTGAGCGAGTGGGCCGTTCCACCACCTGAGCAGATGATACAAATTGATACGTGTCCCTCGTTCACACCCAAAACGTACGTTCAACTCATTTTATATCTTTTGCATCTGCCCATTTCAGCACCTGCCCGCGTCACTCCGAGGATGCCTTCTTCAAGTATTCAATCAAATCTGCTCTTTCCTTTTCCTTCTTAATTCCAGCAAAAATCATTTTCGTTCCTGGGATATATACCTTAGGGTTCAGTAGATATTCATACAAATGCTTGTCGGACCAGATAATGCCCGAGTTTTTATTTGCATCCGAAAATGGGAAATCCGAGTCTCCAGATTTTCTTCCGTAGAATCCGTGTAGGTTAGGGCCCTGCTTTACCGCTCCACCTTTTTAAGCAAATGGTGAAAGGGGAAATAAATGAATAAATAAATAAATACGCATGATACACACACAGGTGCTGTTGGAGGGTGTCCGGGAATGAGCACAACTTCACTCTCACGGGGATGTACACGCCTCTACCATACACACAAATGCAGGTACACACAATAAACGGATAGCTATCTCCCCTTACCTTTATTTATGGTGTGGCATTGCGCACACTTGGCCTTAAAAAGCTTGGCACCCTTTTTGTAGTCACCCTCAGGAACGTCTACTTTTGGTTCCGGCCTTATTTGAGACATGGTTGTGCTGTTTTCAAAGGGAAAATTTTTTAATTAGGCACGAATGCGCAATTAGGGTTAAAAAGTTGTGCGCTTAAATCGGGGGAAAATTCTACAATGGGGCCGACGCTGGTTGGTAATATGTCATTAAAAAATGATCTGGTAAAAAAAAAAAAATTAAGCATAAAAAAGGATGTACATATGCGAACTGGTGTGTGCCACAAAAGTACTCGCTATGTGCGCAAACAACGTTCCCTTTAGATTCGTGATTTTTTCATTTATTGGCGTAGCTTCCAACTGTTGTGTTTCGTTTGCCCTATTATCTCATGCATACCTGTTGCGTTCATTACGCGCGGTTTCGCTTATGTTGTTATAAGCTCCTTTGGCGATTTTAAGAGGTTGACTGGGGGGATATAGCCTACATACAAACATACATATGCGTTCCTTCGCGTACACGTACATTCAAGTATTGACAGCTTGGGGTGCAAAAATGTATAAATGATATTAACTTGTCAAGTTCATTTTAAATGCGTGGAGAAGCATTTTCGTTTTACTGGTAGATCTAATGGATAATATTTCTAAAGGAAGAAATACTGTTTTTTCTTAAAACTAGCACATATATTAATCTTTACTATTATGTACATTTTGTAAAAAAAAAAAAAAAAAAAAAAAAAAAACAAAAAAAACACGTGAGAAATGTACATGTTCACACTTGCTGAACTGTGCATAAATATGTAGAGAGCGTTTTGTACCTTTTACAAACCTTTTTTGTTTTAACATTGTGCAAACTTCTCCGCCACGGTAGGCGTTCTTGCCGCACAGGCCAAATGGTACTCTGCTCCTTTTCCCATATTTATGCGCGCGCAACTGAGTATTTCGTAGGGGTGGAATTGGTCAATACAGCCATTCATGAAGAAGAACATATGCATAACGGAACAAACATAATAAACGCATAAACGTACACTTTATGTATACTTGCGCTCATGTTGCAAGGGTTACAGTGGAACACGGATCATGTGCAAAATTGCACCCTCCTTTTGTAGAACATTAAATGGAAAGAAAAAAAAATTGATACTATTAAATTCTCACACAGGTGTTCTTATTTCGCAATTTACCATGTCGTGTCATCACTTTTAATACTGAAATGGAGCGCACTGTGCAAATGTAATTTTTGTGGAATTTTTTTATGTTCCCCCGCCTCCAATGCCACACAATGGATCAAATGCACAATTGTACGATTCCACCTACAACAATTAAATTTCAGTTGGACAAAAATGACATAAACAGAGGGTACTTATTTATACCAAAAAAAGGGGTGAAACAGAAAGAAAACGTGTACATAATATTTGAATTGTATTGTCCCACGTTTTTCCTCACAAAATGGAATAAGAAAAAGTGTGAAACTAATTTCATTCATGTAAAGGTTTTCACATTTTGCATATGAACCTTTAAAAGAGGAAGAGAATACAGCCATTTGAACAAACTGCATATAGACATATATCTTACGCCCACAACGATTACAAAGCCCGTAACGGATTGCACTGCCTCCCTCCCCTCAAGCGGTAAAGCGGCACAAAAAATTCACTCCTGTGCGCATTCTGATCACCCCGCATTGTTACACCTTTCCATTCCTTCCAATTAAGTCCCTTCCCAACAAGTGGTGAAAAAAAAAAAAAAACTTAACCAAAGGGTAATAAAACGGATAACTTGTCGACAAAAAAAAAACATGCCGTGAACGCTATCTAAAAACATTAGCTCCATTATTCATTAAATCACTAACAATATGATGGAGAAATAATGATAGCTCGGCAGCTCCCGATCAATCTTTGTTGCCATGAACACACATCCTCTCAAAGGTTAACCCCTGCGCGTGTAGACAAAACGAACACTTGGCGCAAATGTAACGAAAACGTTTCTGAAAAAATGTCTCTATAACAGCGTAAAAATTTTGCAGTGGGCTCCCCTCGGAAGGTGCCCTCTTCGTAAAATTTCAAATACATATTTTTTAAGTGAAAAGTGCCAAAAAAAAGAAACATGAAAAATTTATCTTGACAGTTCACTCAATAATGATTAATTTCAGCAGGCAGTAAAATTATATTCAAAGGCTCAAGACCCCTTCATGTATCCCTAATAAGACATCCATAACGACAAAAACATCGGACAGAAACAATTGGATCATTAAAAGTCAGTTCTTATATCGGTGTTAATTTAAGATCCTCCTCAAATAGGAGTACACGAATTATTGAGAACACACATCTTATTCATCTGTCCCACATGCCTATACCATGTGGTATTTGATGGAACAAAATAAGACGAGAATAATGTTTTCAAAATAGACGAAAATACGAAATAATGCGAAAAAAGTGCAATGTGACATAATGAAAAGATATAATTGAACCTTCATAAGGAGTAAGAAAAAAAAAAAAAAAAAAAAAATGCGTAAGGAGGATTTCTCTTTAAAACGCCATATGTGTAGACACACACGAAAAAGCACACACCTTCAGAAGTTTTTCTTTTATTTCACGTTAAGGAATAAAAAAATGAACTACAAAGAGGAAGAAGTACAGATAAAGAAATAGGGGAACAGTTTTACAGTATTGCTAGCTGAGTATACATCAAAAAAAAAAAAAAAAAAAAAAGTTGCATGATAAATAGCATACATAAGTGTAATTTAAGAAAAAATGGATGATAGTGCTGACGAAAATTTTGAAGCCGTTGAAGAACTCAACGAAAACGATGAAGTCACGTCGGAGAACGAAAACCCTGATACTAATCCAGAAAACCAAAGTGACGAAAATAATCTAGAAAATGGCCAAGACAAAGAGGAGGACGATAAAAATGAGGCCGAATCATCTGATATACTAAATGAACAAAATGAAGCAGATCCTACCGGTGAAAACGCAAATAATACATCCGAAGAACCAAACAATTCACAGGATTTTTCCAATTTTACCTTTGACAAAAGTTTATTCTCGGCACCACAGGTAAAATTGTGTAAGAAATTGCACGTTCCTACGATTTCGCCAATGGGGTGCATCTGTGCATATTTGTTCGTTTTCGCTTTTTCAACTTTTCACCATTTTCACCTCTTATCTGCTTTACCTCTTCACCATTTACTCCACCCAGTTTCAACCCTACTATCTCATGAAGGACCACGTTGTGCAGTACCTTGAGCCCATAATTAAAAAAGCTAGAAAAAAAAGTTTCATGTGGTGCTGCTGATGGAAGAAAAGACACAGACAACAAACTAGGTTACTACAAAGAAGTTACACCACAGATTGAGAGTTTAAATATGGTGAAAGCAAAAACAAGAGGAGTTAAAGCCACGCGAAAAAGAAAATGTGGCGAAAAATGTGGACACATATGTTACACTTAGTAGAGTCAGCGTGAACACTTTCTAGCACCCAAACCGCTCCATATGTTGTTCCCTGTTTTAAGCATACCGCATTGTCGAAAGTGCTTATTTTGCGAAATGGTATATGTCCATATATATGTATGAACACTTCACACAGAAAAATGTGAAACGTTTCGCTATTCACAGCTAATGCAAACACATGTTCCCACATGCACATACCGTTTCTCATATACGCTAGCTTGTCCACTTTTTCTTTAACGCAACCGTATGAGCATTCTTGATTTCACTTTCCAAAGCTGACTTAAATTCAAAAAGCAACTCTGCATACATTCGGTTATGCCCCAATAGAAATTTCAACAAAATGAAGTGGCATGTGATGATACGTTTTTTCGGGAACAACCTCTTTTCTTCATATAGAATGAAAAAAAAAAAAATCCTCCCATAACAATTTAGCGATATTGTTTTAAATATTCTCCAAAAAAGGCTAATTGAGACACGGTCAAAATGATGCATACTAGCAACGGTTCTGGGCAACCTCAAGTTACATTTTAGACAAGTGGTTATATGTTCATTTGCATAAATGTATGCAAAATGAAATTTCTCCATGTAACCAATTTGCCACCACGTTTACCTACACGTGGCTGTACCTAACTCATTATTGCTTAAAAGGTGTCAAATGAGCAAAAACAAAATGTGATCGGATTTATTTTTCGAGTAAAACTTAGTTTATCCAAAATGAGCGCCTTCCCTTTTGTCACATTCGTTTGTATAATAAGGAAAAAATCGGAGCGATATGTGTTCTATGTGGAAGCATATGCATTTATTTATATATTTTTTTTATTTTTATTTTCCAATATAGCTGTCTTCCTCCGAATTATTTGTTGTTGCACACTATTTTCTTATGTTCAAATGATGCGCTGGAAGTGACAACGAAAATGCCTGAACAGGAAAGGCAATTAATGGGAAAATTCATTCAGCTAGCCAATAAAAGAAAAATAAATAGCCATTTTTGAGAAAAAATATAGCTATTTACAAGAAAAAAAAAAAAAAAAAAAAAAAAAAAAGTTTAAAATTTTGCGAGCTGGAAAAACATCAAAAAAAAAAAAAAAAAAAAAAAGTTGCATGATAAA